TGAACAAGTGGCAGGGCTTGTGTAGGCCCTGAATGGACTTCCTACGCGGCGTCACAGCGGCCTTAGTCTCTTTCACCATCTCCATCACAGCTGTCGCTTGACGGGACGGGGCTTCGGAACCAAAGCCCAGGCGTTTTCTTTGCCACCATGCTGTTTGCACTTGACTTCTACCTGATCTTTAACAACGTGGCCTAATTTCTCAAACAAGGGGACTCTGCAGAGGTGACCGGTGACCGCAGCCCACAAAATGGAAGTAGGGAATTCCGACTGTGACTCCGGAGGTGGCCAGGGGGCCGTGTGTTGGGAGGGAGGCTGTGACTTCTCAGAGTAGCAGTGGGAGTTGCTGACGGAGCGGGCCTCCTCACAGCCCTGAGGTGACGTTCCTGAGCCCAGCACACAGGACAGCGCCCCTTGCCTTAGCACTGTCAAGCCGCTCTGCACGTGAGGGCATCTTGAATGTTCCACCCCTTCTCCTCAGGTATGGCTCACGGACCTTTGACCTCTCTGCCAAAAACAAGTACAAGGAGACAACGTGCGTAGAGCCTTGTTACCTCCGCCTCTCCCCCCCCCCCCCCCCCCCCCCTAAGACGGAAACCACCACAGGGCCAACCTGCCAGGCCCCAGTCGTTTTTGTCTGCATTTGGTGCCCCTGTTCATGACAGGCACTTTGTCCAGAATGATCCTTCCAAGATTCTTTTGTTCAAGGAGCACTAGCTGCCTCTTCTTTCTTGAGGCAGGGAGAAAACTGACCTTTGCCCTGTCATCTAAGAGTGAGTGAATCTCGGTGCTCATAACTGGCCAAGCATTTCGCAAATGAATCCCGTTCATAATGGGAGGGTTGTCTGATCAGTGCAAATCCGTCATCACCACTGAGCCAGTATTTATTAACTGAAGATTAGAACATTCAGATTTAAGTTTGTGTGCTTCTTGTTCATGCATTTCCTTATGAAAATATCTTTCCACACGTAGGTCAAAAATGTAATGAAAAATATCATGGCTGGATTGCAACAAACCAACAGTGAAAAGATACTCCTGAGCTGGGTCCGACAATCAACTCGTAATTATCCACAGGTTAATGTCATTAACTTCACCACCAGCTGGTCTGATGGTCTGGCTTTGAACGCTCTCATCCACAGTCATAGGTAAGATTATCGAAACATTGAATAATTTTTAAAAGTATTGATTTAGAGTCTGATATCTTTTTCTCCAGCATGGTTCCTGATCATTTCCCACTATGCAACATGTTATTTATGTTGACCATATTGATCTAACCATCCATTGGAATGTACTGAATAAGAATATCCTATTTTTATGTGATATTACACTTAGTTGTTGAAATGTTAAAACTGTCAGAGCATGAATGAGGTTATGGTGGAGAGGGGGTATCAACATCTTTGAAATTGAGACTGCCAGAAAATCAAGGTTATATTCTAACTTTGCTAAGAATGGAGTTGGTCTTTCTATACAAATAATGTGTTAGTAATGAGCTTCAGCTGTAGCGTTAAAAATGGTTGTAGATCTTATGTGAGTGGCTGTAGTACAATTACCATCATCAGATTAATAATGTGAAAAAGAAACATTTCTCTTGTCAGATACTTAGATAGCAAATACCATAAGGCCCTGTATGTGTGTATATATATGTATATATACTTATATTTCAGGGGTAAAAGAGGCTCTGAGCATCTTAGCAACCAAGGTAAAGAGCAGACCTCAATTCTATGACTCAGTGCTCAGAATATCAAAAGAAACAATTGCTCTGGAACAGCAAAGCAATTGCTATAAAGCGTGAGAGTTGTTCTGTTGACCTCCGTAAAAGGAACTCAGTGTGACATAGTGAACCAAATGTCCTTAACTATATTCACACTATTATATTTTCTAAGATAAAATAGTTGTTTGCTTTTTCTTGTATAAAGAAGCTCAGTAAGTGAATTAGTAACAGTTCAAGAAAAAGCAAAACAACATGATAAATACATACATTATATATAATGAATACATTCATATATTATTGTATGTATAATACATTTACTCTAATGAACATGTGCTTTGGTTTTCCTGTTACCCATCTCTTTTACCCAGCCCAATACGCAGGGTCAAATACATTGCCTTATTAACTGTGCTTGAAATGCCACTGGACTGCACCTGCCCTGATTTTCAGTGCAGCTTATCTTTTCTCACTTTGATCTTTCTTTTCTCGACGAGTCTAGTCTACCATTTTCCTATGCCAATCTTGCTTCTAGAAACGTCCAGAATATAAATTTTCTTCCTGGTTTACCCGTCCGGGAGCAAATGCTCTCTAAATAAGCATCTTTGTCAGGTGTCTTGCTCCAGCTGGGTTTAATTAACCCCATCTAGGCTGAGTTTCCAGGTGAATGACTCGGCAACCTGACTTTGGAAAGGAGGCAGGCTCATACTCAGTCGGCATGTTAAGCGATGTTAATACGTTGTTTTTCCTAAGTGTGACAGGAAGAAAAATATTCCACAGCCTCAGTACAGCCAGATGAGAGGGGATAGAGACGTTCATTCTGCATTATAAGTCAGTGTTCATTCATGCAGCCACATGCTTCACAGTAAGGGCCGGAACATATTGATCTTGCTGTTCATGTACACATTTGCAGATGAACAGAAATATCGAGGATCGGGTTATGCGGTCCTTGTTGGCTCATTAGCATTTTCTTTTCAAGTGGAAGACTTCAGTCCTGCAAGCGTGTTCACAGACTACATTTGTTAATATTCTATTTCGTGATTTCTGAATGCATTTGTAAGTAATACAATAAACATATCCAGGTTGCCCTGTCACATCTGTCCCTGACCTACTGTTTGTCTCTCCAAATATCTATGTTTATATATTCTTCTGTCATACTGAATGAATCATCAGTAACTACCTTCTTATACATAACATGGTTACTTTTCAAGAGGTTTCTCACAGTTGATAATGCTCTTTCATGAATCATCTCCCTCTTCTTTTTGTCTCTGACAGATGAACATATTGTTTATCTAAAGGAAAAGAGAATGGTTGAACTGTTTGTTCCAGAGTGATTGTCATTGGAACACTTAGGAATGTCATGAGGTGTCCTGATTTCAATAATTGAAAGACTATGTAGAACAAAGGCATGAACTTGATAATGAACATAGGAATTGACAAAGAGCCTTGCCAAAGATCAGGCTTTTAGTGACTTTATATTTCTTTAAGGCTAAATTTTATCTTAATATGTAAGAAATTAAAAGTATTAAATTAAAACAGAGTTCACTACAGTGCAGTTAAAAGGAAGCCAGATTCTACTTTCATGGGAAAACCAAATGATAATTGATTAGAAGTATGCTCAAAATATGCAAATAAGTTGCAATAAGTATAAAGTTGCAGTTAAATTTTCTTCCTAATTTCTTATTTTAATTTATTACCATAGAAGTAACATAGCACGTGGTTTAAAAAAAAAAAAGTCAAACATTAGAGAGGGAGGCAAAGGACAAAAAAACAAAACGTGTCTTCCTGACCTCAGCCCTATCCCATCACTCTCCACTTCCTAGCAGTAGTTACTGTCAGAAACTTCTTTTATTCTTTCTGACGGTTTTCGTAATTATATATATCTATTCCTTGATTAATTCATTTCTGACAGTAGATGGATTTATTCCTTAATATGAAGCCCACAAATTTACGTCTTATCCCCATCTGTTTCCTGATTTCATCACTATGTTATAATCATTTTATTCTTATAATTGTTGCCTGTGTGACTTTAAATGACAGTGGTATACTTATTTTCATCAAGTTTAGACAAGATCTGTTGACCACCTGAAATGAAGGTTGAGGAAATTATCACCCTCATACGTACTTCCTCCTCTTCTCTCCTCTCCACTTCTGTCATTATATTGTTATTCTTGCATCAACAATGTTTGTAACATTTATATCTCTTCTGTAAGTATAGGTTCTTGGCTTGAATCTGTACATTGAAAACGTATTACTGTTATTTTATAAATATAATTAAACTTAAAGTAATAGAAGTTAGTGTTTTTAAGCGATTATTATTTTGTAGGCCCTGTTCTAAGTAAAATAACCCATCTGTTTCTCATGACTTACATACTATCATTGTCCCCATTTCACAAATAGGCAAATCACATAACCTCTCTGTGCCTCACTTTCCCAAAGATCATTTGGTTATGTCAACCTAGACAGAGATAAACGGAGGCAAGGTCAAATGATCAGAAATTCAGTTTATTCAGGAACAACAGAGGAATTGCAATTTGGGAAACACATGCTGTAACAATTTACAGGCGAGTCTTTTGGGGGTTTGGGGCAGGCTGTGCGTATGGGCAAGGAGCACAGAGAGGGGGCAGTACAGCCGGAGTGCAAGCAGTAAGTTCATTGACTTGAGGATGGGGAGAGATTCTTGGTGGATATAGGATGTTCATTGATTGTGAGATAAGGCTTGATCTTCTGTAAAACAGGCGTTCATAGAAAATCAACCTCTGAATTCTTAAGTTCTGTTCTTCTGAGGGCACGTGTGGGAAATTCTCCATTTTATATCCTCTGGTTACATTTTTGACTGAAATCTTTTCACAGCTAATATGCTGTAGAGCCAGGATATGCATTCCTAGGGGACTCTGCTTACCTACTAGGCTATGTTATCTCATTCAGTATGTCGGTTTCCTCAAAAGTGTGGGGATCCTTGGTGGCACATTCTTATTTATGACTTATGGCCTAGGTTAGCATGGGAAGGTATGTGGCTTTCCTCTTCAGTTGGTTAGTTTTACAATTCTTTATGCATTTGAAAATCATGGTTATTTAAAATGTTAATTAATGGTGAATTTTAATGATTTAAAAGATTTTATTAGATTGATTTTAAATGCTAGAAGAGACCTTGAAGGCCATTCAGTACAATTCCTTCTTTTTAAAATGAAAACACTGAAGCTCAAATAGATTACATGACTTAGATAACTCGTCACCCAGGTAACTAGTTAGTGGCTAAGGAGAAGGCGAAGGGGATGAAGGGAAAAGGGCTTAAATGTGGAAGTAATCCTATTTTTTTGTCATACTGATTTAACCTTGTTTACATTGCTGTAGGTGAGAAACTGGTTTCCCACACTCTCCCACCTATATTCTTTTCCACTCCCCTTAATGAGAGATGGAGAAATGAAGATGGGGCAGAGGTTGCATAGTGAAATTAAAACTTCCCCCAAATAGTCTAGGATTTAATTTTTGTTTCTTAAGAGTCTTTCCACTACTAGAGACAGCTCCCAATTTATACATATTTTAGGTTCTAAAAGGTTTTTAGCTGTTTTGGGTAACTTGGAGTATATAGGGGAGATTAGATTTACTAAGAAGTGCACAAAAGTCTGGTGAATTAAACAGGGTAGGAGCAAGTAGAGAAAAGGAAATGAGAGTCAAAGGAGAAATAAAGTTGCACCTTTATTTTGAATTCTGGTTTTAGAAAATAGCAGCTAACCCCATCCTTGAAACATCTTCTCTTGCAGAGCATGAGTTCTTAAGCAGGAGTCCATTGACAGACCCAAATGTGCTAACATTCTATGTAATTCTGTTTAAAGCTATGGATAGGAATTTTGTCTGGGTAGAAGTTTCATAGTGCTCATCGGATTCTCAAAGGTATCTGTGATCCAGGAAAGGTGAAGAAGCACTTAACTAATGGTTTCCAATGTTGCTGGGTAAAATTGTAATTCCTTAACAGCCAAGGCCTTTTATAGACTCATCCCAATCCTCCTCCTAACCATATCTCCCACCCCTTGATACTAGAAATGTCCCAGTGGAGCCAGACTTGTGAGGTCCTGACTGACTGGGCACATTCTGCTCTTTCCTTCCCTAAGATCTCTGATTCTCTTAATATCCATGCAAGTTAGAATTCTATTCTCAAGCACTTTTCTTTAATCTAACCCAAACCACCATTTAAGAGTCCCTTAAGCCTCAAAAAAACCTTTCTTGACCTCTTCAGATTTTAGAAAACCATATATTATTATTATCTGTATTTGTCACACTTAAAATGTATGTAACTTGTATTGTATGGATTTTTTTTCCTCATTAGATTTGAAATCCTCATAGGATAAGAACAGCCTCTTACACGACTTTGTGTTTTCTCCGTTATTAAGTAAAATGATATTCATATAGTATGTTCTCATCCATTCTCTGGTGTAGTCAGTAAATATTTATTGAGCCCCTCCTGTGTGTCAGGTTGGGTTTCTAGAAGTGAACAAACCTGGCAAGAATAATTCTGTATTCTACATTCAAGTGCGGGATATAGGTAAATAGATAAGATTAATTAAATGTATAATATGTTAAATAGTAGTTAAGTGCTAATGAGAAAAAATATAAAGCAATTAAGAGGGATAGGAAATGATTCTGTGTAAGTTTGATTTGGGGGCAAGCAGTTTTAGATGGGGGAAGGGCAGGGAAGGACTCATCAATGTGACTTTTGAGTAAAGACCCAAAGGAAGTGGAGGAGTGAGCCATATCTGTGTCTGGGGGAGGAGAATTCCAGGCATAGGGAACAGCAAGTGCAGATGTGGGAGACTATCTAGCCTGTTTGAGGAATACGAGGAGGGAGGCAAGAAATAAAATCAGAGAGTTAATGGGGAGCCAGACCATGTAGGGCCTTGTAGGTCGCAGTTAAGTCAGTGAATTTTACTCCCTCTATAGCAAGGATTTGAGAAGGTTATGATGAAACATTTTACCAGATCACCGTGACAGCTCTGCTGAGAATAGATTAACAAGGGCAAGGGTGGGAATAGGGGAGCAGTTAGAAAACTAATGCAGTGTTGTATGCAGGCTAAGATGGTGGTTTGGATTATGGTGCTAGCAGCGAGGATAGTGTGAAGTGGTCAAATTCTGGATATATTTCCAACTAAGTGTTGTATGAGAGTGAAAGAGTCATCAAAGTTGACACCAAGGTTTTTCTGCTGAGTACCTACAAGTTTGACCTTGTCATTGATTATTGAGGAAGGGAGAACTATAAGAGAGATAGGTGAGTCGTGGTGGTACAATGGGGATGAGTATCAGAAGGTCAGTTTTGGATGCTTGAGTCTTGTGATGACTCTAAGTAGAGCTACTGAGTAAGCAGATGGATCTAGAGTCTGAAGTTCAGGGAAGAGGTCTGGGCTAGGCTTATAGAATTAGAAGATACCAGCAAATGGCTGGTATTCAAATCCATGAGACTGGATGAGATGAACATGTTTTTGTTGCTGGGGTAAGATAGAATAATTTCTCCTTTGTTTTCTTCAGGATTTTCTATTAAAATTGTGACTTGTCTAAATGAGAAATGTTATTAAAGAGTACCGAAGAGTAACACTCAACTCTTAAGGAATGTGGGCATGGGTTGTCAGTCAAATATCAGAACTGGGGACTTCCCTGGTGGTCCAGTGTTTAAGACTCTGTGCTTCCACGGCAGGGGGCATGTGTTCGTTCCCTGGTCTGGGAACTAAGAAAGAATTGACGTGAATCTCATGAAATATTTTAAGTTGATTTATATTTGTCTTTATATTTGTGTGTGTGTTTCAGGCCAGGCCTGTTTGATTGGAATAGTGTGGTTTGCCAGCAGTCAGCCACACAACGACTGGAACATGCGTTCAACATTGCCAAATATCATTTAGGCATAGAGAAACTACTGGATCCTGAAGGTTGGTGCATTTCTAAACTACCACTGTTTTTAGCATAGTTTAATGTTTATCATCTCAGGCTTAACATTTCCACAAAGTAAGCACAAAACAGAAACTCTGCATTCCAAGTATATTTAAAATGTTCTGTTTTCCTGAAATACATTATGAACTGTCATACGATTTTAGTTCTCAGAATACCAGTATGTAAAACTAAAATGTAAAACTTTAGAAAAAAAATTCAAACCTTTAGAATGTATATGCCTCACAGATGAAGTATACTGCATTTAGAGTATATTGACTCCAAATAATTATAAAAAGTTCACGTTTTGCTTATTCTACCAAGAGATTTGATAGACTAATCAGCTATAAATAATTAGCTACTCTTGCCAGTTTCATTCATATACTTCATAAAAGGCAACATGGTTTACTGTTTAAATCAGGAAATCTATTCCTGGCGCTGATTTTGTTGTGATTTGTCACTCTGGGGGAAGTCCTCCATTGAATGGTTATTTGTTTTCTGCTTCTTTAGTTCACAGGCAGTACTGTATTTATATTTTTATAATATTACACGTAATTAAATTTCATCCTTATCTCTGGTGCTGCATAGTCGTATCTTACAAACACATGGATTAGAGGGAAAATAATTGCTGACCTCTGCTTTTCTTCTAGCCCATGAGGCACTTTTTAAATTTGCCAACTTCTTTGGAATTGCAGAGTATATTCTCAACTTTCTTGAGGCTTTACCACACTCTAAACCCAGAAGTTGGAGAGGCAGTGTCAGTGGGATTGATATGTGCAATATAGTACAAGCTGATATTTGGGTAGGGTTATATAATTCTTTTTTCTTTGGAATATTGAATCAATCCCAAATAAGGAGATCCTTGAGTATCCCAAATAAGGAGATCCTTGAGTGGTGGTCATAGGTCCCATCCGGAAAAGTTCTGAAATAACTCAGAGGATAGCCTTTCACTGGTGAATTTATCATCAACCAGAATCTAATCTAGTGTTATAGACCCAAAAACCTGATTACCTCATCTTATTGATAGAAGATCCATATGGTGGTGGTAGTGGTGGGGGAGTTAACTTTAAACCAGATGAAAAAAAAAAATGATATAACAATCAAAATGGAAGCTCATTTATTTTAAATGAGATATTTAACAATCACAAGAACCAGAATACTCATATCTAATTGACCTCTATATTGCTCTTTAAGCACATGGACTTGGGAAAACTATAGCAATACAAATGTTTGTGAAGTTGGAATCAGATTAAGTTCATTGTAAATGTTTCTTCTCCTTTAGATAATGCGTGACTCCTGTAACCTCTTGTTATTGCTTCAGTAGATGGTCAGTGTCCTTCCTGCCCCAGTTTAGCTGGGAGCAGTTGTATCAATCATATTTCCTTGTTTTGAAGGATGGGGGAGGGTTACCTCACTATTGACTCTTAGTACCGATTGATACACATGTTTTTTCATACTCTAGTGAGGTAGAGAGGGCAGACATAATGAAAATATGACTCCAGCCCCTGAGGGTGAAAGCTATAGTGTATGAATCTGAAGGATAAGCCTGTTAATAGGTTTTTTGTTTTTCGTTAAATCCACATATGGTAGTCAGTTTCTGTTGTCTGGGATATTCTTGTGTGTGCCTTATCCTTTCGTAAAATAGTAAGAGTAAGTTTAAAATAGATCTTTTCCTTGCTAAGTGATAAAATGGCTTTTGATCTCTAAGTCCTCATTTGAATCAATGAAGTAAGGGAACCTAGATAGGCATCCACATCACAGTCAGAAAATAGATTGATAAGCCTATAATCAGAAAAGGGCAGTTAAATAAATAATATATTTTATAGTATAAAATAGCCTTATATACCCAATTTCATATGTTCTCCTAAATGGAAAGTGTATGTTGAAATGCATGTCATATAGGCACGCCATTATAATATCTCAAACTTGATAATTCAGAGTCAACCAGGTACAGTATGAAATACAAGCTGATTAATAGAGATCAAACTACCACTTATGGTTTCATTTTGCCAGTAAACTCTTCGATCTGAAAACTTTTGCTATTTATGGACTCCCTTCCAAGAGCATTCTGTCTCCTAAACTGGTTTATTAAAGGTTTTTTGGCTTTCAATAAGATAAGGATTCAGAATAAATCTTAAATTTTATTTTTAAGTGTCTATCAGTTCCTGCCAGTGTGTTAGGGAAATACTCAAATATGCATTTAAAAATTATTGCTCAGTATTTTTCAAGAGACGATATCAATGATAATTGAAAGAAAAAATTAACCAAATCATAAGGATTTTTATTTACTGATTAGTTAGTTGCAAAAGACAGAATAGCGTCTCTTAGAATCTAAGACTTAGAACAGGCTACTCAGTGTATCTAACAGGCGAGACTCAACGGACTTCTTGCATGTCCTGTATAGTAATTACCTTTCAGAAGTTCATATTTTTATTTAACCAATTATTGGTTCTTTAGCTTATACATGACGATGTCAGCTATTTCCCAAAGCAATTTTCGTTTCATATCTAATATGCCCCTTAGGAGGCTAATGAAACATTTAGCTTTATATTTGGGGAGATTTTTATTATTGGGGGGATTGAAGTTACATTTGGCTTAAAAAATACCTGCCCAAAAATGTTTTTAGAATTTTAAACGTATGCTTTATTGATTGGGTTGACTTATAAGTTAAAAAGTCATTGAAATATAATTTGGAGCTTTTCATATCTTGCATATATCGACTTTGGTATGCTTTGTTTGGCCTTAATTGGTGTTTTGAGGCCTGAGGTTTGGTTTTAAGTGGAATTGCCTTTTAAAATGAGTAGCAATAGGCTTTAGCATAAGCAATTTCAGGAGCTGTTTCTGGTGTGTTTAAATGTTAACATATGCAAAAACAAGTACTAGTAGGGTGAAATTTAATAATTTATGCATCTTTATGCTTATAGATATAAAAGGTTTATCTCCTTCAAAACATATCCTATTGTGAATCATTCAATCCACTTTCTCTCCTGATTTCCCTGTAAGACACGCACAGTAGTGCATTGTGGGTTTCACGTGCATTGTTTGCTTCCCTGAGTTTCAAACAAGTTGGTTTGTTTGCAAATCCACACAATACTTTATGCATTAAGAGAATGCTTTGTCAGCTTTCCTTGTGAATAACAAAGTGTAGATGTTCTAAAAGTAATAAAAAAAATTGGGGATAAAAATTTTTGCCAGTTCTAGATGACTTTTGACTGTAGTAAGTCATTTCCATTTGTGATGGGCAAGATGATGTGCACATCATCTGTGGCTTACCAGGGTAACTTTAGAATGAAAAATGAATGATGAGAGTCAAATTTGATGAACACTAGGGCTTTCAAGAAATGTTTGTAACCTCAAAATGACATTCACAAGCCAATTAGTTTGGTTTTAATCCACTTCATTTTAACAGCGTGAGGATGGTGACACAGATTCTATTTTCTGCCTAGCTAATCCCTGCATCGCTCTTCAGTTGTTTTTATTTTTTTTAATTAATTAATTAATTAATTTATGGCTGCCTTGGGTCTTCGTTGCTGTGCACGGGCTTTCTCTAGTCGTGGTGAGCCGGGGCTGCTCTTCGTTGCGGTGCGCTGGCTTCTCATTGCAGTGGCTTCTCTTTGTTGCGGAGCATGGGCTGTAGGCGCATTGGCTTCAGTAGTTGCAGCACCCGGGCTCAGTAGTTGTGGCTCACGGGCTCTAGAGCGCAGGCTCAGTACTTGTGGCGCACGGGCCTAGTTGCTCCGTGGCATGTGGGACCTTCCTCGGACCAGGGCTCGAACCCGTGTCCCCTGCATTGGCAGGCAGATTCTTAACCACTGCGCCACCAGGGAAGTCCTTCAGTTGCTTTTAGAGTCTACTTTTCCACGAATTAGCTCTACCTTTTGGAAAGTTTTACTCCTGGATAAATTGTCTCTGACTTCGCTTTGCATGCATGCAGCTAATTAGTCTTTAAAAAAGTATTCAAGAGAAAATATATAGCTTTTACTATAAAAGAGGAGAAAGTCCTTAAGGCCTCCTTTTTGGGTTTGATATTGTTTGAGCAAGTGGCGTTTTTGTTTCTTCCAGCTTTGTTCTGTTCATCACATTTTGATACCATTAACAACAAGAAATGGTAATAAGTAGTTTACACTAAGTTAAAATGGAAAGAGTAAAACCATACCAACTCAGAAGGGTGTTGTTAAAATAAAATAACTCGAACTTTTTATGGACAGGCACACTCATTTCATATCATTTAGATTGGTTTTTTTCCAGAACCCATTGTGGAATATCTTTGTTTTCAGAGAATTTAATGAGGTTGGAATATACTGGTGTTCCTCATGTGTATAACATTTCAACTAGAAGTTATTATTGTAAATATCTCACACTCTTTAGAGCCATACTCTCTGCAGTGCAGAGTATTTTATTTTCCATATATTAAAAAAGTATTTTAATAGTACATATATTAAAATGGCCATTGCCTTTTTGATGACAAAGTAACAAAATATATGTTCCTTTGTACTGTTTTGTTGATGTATATCATTATCTCTGACAGATTGTCTTTAGAGATAATACACATTGTAATTATCTAAAACTAAATCCTGAGTTTCTTGGAAGAACAGTTCTTAGTCTACTTACTCTACTACGGAAAATAGAAAGTATCATCAACTGCTTATACAGATATGATAATAGCAGAATAATATTCCTATTATGTCAGCAGGAGACCACTTTTTCCGGCATTTCTTTTAAAAGATATTAAAATGTGATCATTAAAACCAAATTATATCATTTAATAGTGTTAAATGTAATAATGAAAATATTTCTTTAATTTTGAACATCAGTGGATTGCAGTTGAAATGAGCAAATTAGAGATGCCATTATTGTATTAGCAAAGGAATGGGCTACATTAGTAGATTTAATGTTGCCATCTCATTTGCTTAATGTATATTCAACACCTTTTAGCAAAGGAATTTGGGAAATACTGTGTTAAATACTTTAAATATATACTTCTATTAGCATTGCTTAGAAC